CCGAAAATCCTTCTTCCGAGCGTGGCAACGTATCGCGCGACTACAATAAAGGCAACGATAAACGCCCGCAAGGATCGCTCTCTTTTTCTCTCTCTCTCTCTCCCTCTCTTTTAATAGGTGAATTAATATTCAAAGTGTATCGCGGCGATACATTCATCCGTTTACAAATCGGCCGCCAGCTGTTCGATCTTCTCGAGCACGTAATCCATCGAGGCCTCGGTGGGTGGAGGTTGACAGGTCACCACCATGCGGAAAAAGTTACCCAGGTTCGCGTGGGAGAGCGGCGAGTAACCGACCATCAGCGAACCCTCGAGCATCATACGTTCCTTCACTTTCGCCGTAATCTCGTACAGCTTGTTCCACCAATCCTGAGTCTCCGTTTCACCCCGCATGCTAGGCGGCACGTACCTGCAACGTGTACCGATCGAACCGAGAGAACCTTTGGAAACGGGTTACGGGAGAAGCAAACCCACCAGAAGCAAACGTTGCAGCCTTCGTATCGGGGAAGAACCAGCCGATATCCTTCGCGATGTTCAATCCGACCGAAAAAGTATTCCGCCGCGTGCATTGCACGCTCGACGGACTCGCAGAGTCCTTTGGTTCCCCGTGCCTTCCACATCAGCCAAAACTTGTAACCGTCCACCTGGAACCGGCGAGAAAAAGCTGAAAGTAAGCACTCTGCAGCCGGTAAGAGAGAAGAAAGAAATACCTTTCTCCCACATTGCATGCTTTTATCGCCCGTGTCCCAGGACACGTCGTAGTGCTTGTCCTGTTGAAACAGGTACCGCGCTCCTGCGCAATTCACCTCGTGCAGAGCCTTCTTACCTTTGACCAGGAACAACGAGCATTGTAACGGAACGCCGAGCATCTTGTGCGGATTCCACGCGACGGAATTCGAGCTGCATCGATCGTACGATCACTACGATTTTACTATCAACGGTTACAGCGCGATAAAAGAACAAGAGAGAGGTCGCTACGTACAGTTCGATTCCCCTCAATCGGTCGCGGTACCTTTCCGAGAGCAGCAACGTGCCGCCGAGGCAGGCCTGTAACAACGCGAATCGTTCGAATTACTCGTCGAAAGCTCCTCTCTCCCGCGGCTTAATCCCCCCCTCGTCATACTTGTACGAACGTCAACGTGTAACCATAGATTCTCCTCGCGGCAGACGGCCGCGATTTCCGGCAGCGGGTCGAACGATCCGAGGACCGTGGTGCCGCAGGTTGCGTTCACGAAGAACGGTAACTGTCCCCTTCGCCTCGCTTCCGCTACGCCTGCCTTCAGCTCGTCCGGTCTCATACGGCCCAGCTCGTCGCACTTCACCTGCCGAACCAAGTCCAAGTCGAATCCAGAATCGGTAAAAACGCGAATCGAGGAGAGCCTACCTTGTACACTTGATCGGTTCCCAGGCCCAGCCAGTGAGCACCCTTCGAGATCGAATAGTGGCCCGCCTCGCTGGTGAAGCAGGCCAACGGCGGAAGCCCCGCGAGTCCCTTCGTCTTCACCTCGGGTACCGCCTTGTATCTCGCCATTACCATGCCGTACATATTCGAGACGCTACCACCGGGACAGAGAATACCGTCTCCCTCTGGCATCGGGGGGTATCCGACCAACTCCAAACATTTCTCCATCATCTGCCGCTCCATCAGAGTAAACACCGGAGCCACCTCGTACGTGTACCTGTACGAGCGCAGAATTAGTCGCGGACTGTTGGCGAAACGGTCGAACAAAGAGAAGAAATTTCGGAAACTCACTGGCTCGTGTTAAGTACATCGGTCAACCAGGATCCAACCAGGCCGTATTCGTCGACGCCGGCGTACAGTTGATTGTGAAAGTGCGGGCTAAACGTTTTCACGGAGTACCGAATCGTTTGCCGTATCGCCGTGTCGATCTCCTCTTTGCTGGCTGGTTCCTCGGTCAGTTCGATCGGCAGTTGTTCCTACGCGAGAAACGAGGTCAACGACTCTTGGAATATCAACTAGAGAGCAGACCTGTTGTAACATACCTCGAGCTGTTTCGGATGAACGAAACGCAGGATAGGCTCGGTGCCCGTGCAATCGAACACGTTCTCCTGCTCGAGAACGTCGAGTAGCCCCCTCAGCAGCTCGATCCTCGCCTTGGTGGATGTTGACGCGTCCATTGCGTATCGTCAACTGTACCCTAACTGTGGAAACGGTTAGGTCGCGGCCGAGTCTGTCCCCCCCCACCTGGGTTCTTGCTTCTTTCTCGCTTCCCCGACCGATATCGCGATCGTTCACGGCCGGAAATTCTCGCGCAATCGACCAACGGAGACGATCCCCCCACCCCACACACACTCACGTTTTTAACGGGTCGACTAGTCGCGGAAACGCGAACAGATTAAGCAGACTCGGAGCAGATAAAACCGAACGAAGC